AGTTTTATTTTGATAATATAATTATAAATACAATATAATAGAGCGATAAAAAAATAAATTTATAAAATTTTTTTCTTAAATACTAATATTAAAATGCCTTATTATTATAATTAACTATATATATATATTATGTAATTATTTTTACTTAGAACAATTAAAATAAATTATTAACTGGCTATATAGTTATACATATTATATAATATAAAATAATTAATGTTACAATCAGATGTCTTTTTAAATTGGAGCTTGAAGATGTTGACAATGATATAATACTTTTTGGACACATTTTACATTTGGTAACTATTGAATTACCTTTTGATTTTAAAACAGTGAAATATTTTTGATATTTGGGCCATGGTAATTCTAATTCATCTAATATTGAATTTTGATTTTCAGAATCTGATGATGAAATATTTATATCCATGCAAATGCTAATCTATTAAATTAAAATATAAAATATTCAAATTAATAAACTTTAATCTTATCTTCTCTAGCAGTAGCACGTTATGGTACGTTAATTGCAATATGAAAGAGGAAAAAGTAAAAACAGCTGATTAAAAAATATAAGACTTTTTTGTTAAAAAATTGGATTAAATATTAATTTTTCAAATAAATAAAAATATAAGATTTTTTGTTAAAAAATGCGGATTAATATTAATTTTTCAAATAAATAAAAATAAAAAGTGTTTTTAAAATTGAACGAACGTAAAATTGAACGCGTTCGTCAAAAAAAAAGGAACGCCGTTCATCACCTTTTTTCAAAAAAACGAACTTCGTTAACACTAGTTAGAATAGGAAAAAAACTAAATTTTAAAAAAAATTAAGAATGAATGACATTATTTTTTACTATTGGCCTCCCTCCCTTGTGTTGGATATTCCTATATGAATATGAAGGAGACAAAAAATAAGTAATCAAAATATAAAAAAACAATACCATTATCAGAACATGATATTAAATCTATTTCATGAACTAGATATTTTTTCTTGGTTATCATTACGAGCATAAAATACTTGGTAAAGTGTGCTCTTACTGATTCTACTATAATTAATTTATTCTCAAATAATTGGACAAAATAACTTTATTAGGTGATCACGTGTTATTACCTATCCATAGAACAGATAGAACTAATATCTGTAAATTGGGTAGGAACGTTTGCTGGAAGAATTTCAACACCATTTATTGCCTCTAATCTTTTAAGTTCCCAACAAAGAATTATCAATCATAGGTAATTTAAGTTATTTTTATAGTAACCACATATATTCCTCAAATTAATTGATGTACATAAAATATATTAATTTTTTATTTAAACTGCTAAAAATATTTAGGAGCTTTCCAGAATGTCATAAACTATGAGAAAACATTGTTATGCAAATGCAAAATGAGTTGCAATAAATAATTTTTTATATGGATTTTTTAAAAATATATTTTCAGGTGAAAATGTTTGATTTTATTTTATAAAAATTTACAAAAACAGAACAGAAAATAAAATATCTCTAAAAAATGAAATTTTCTGGTGCCAGCGGCAAAAAAGGGAAGAAAAAAATATTATTTAAAAGTTTTAAAAGAATATACATGGGGATTCGAAATATTTTTTAAATATATTTTTTAAAAATATTTTAAAAAAAAGATTCCGAATAAAACATGGGGATTCAAGATCTCGAAAGTTGGGTTTCCGAATCCCACATGATTCCGTATCCCAATACGACAAGAGAAGTTATAGATTAATTGAAAAATATTAAGCATCATAATAATTTTATAATATTTCATTAAGAGTTAATACTTCAGAAGATCCGATCAAGAAATTATTGAAAAGTCGTAAGCTATTTTGAAATTTTGCCAAATGAAAATCTGACTTTCAATCAAAATTCGATCTGTGCTTAAAAAATTTTTAACTAGTCGATATATGAGTCGGAATTAATAAAAAAAAATCCGATGAAATAATTTTAAAAAATGAATAATTATTAGCAGGACCATTTAATTCATAGTCAAACAATCAACAGATTCAGTAGAGTATTTTCATTATATGGAGTGTATTCCAAACTAATGAATAGTTTGGGAAAACTATTTTTTAAGCAAATAAATTCAAATATCAATGTCGAGTACATGAAATATTACAATGCACTGTCAAAGTTAGGTATAAAAAATTGATCTTTTAATTTTATTATCTAGATTTTAGAAGATATCATGATAATTCTCATATAAAATTTCAAAAAACAAATAGAATATTATTTTTCAAATTGCATCGCATTATTCTAATATTTTACTGAACCAAAACACTTTTTTAAAGGAGGTTTCACAGCCCTGAATTTAAAAATTAAATATTTTTTTAGAAATTAAATAATTTCCTACTACATAGAGATCCGAATTATATTATAATAATTAATTATGTCAAAAATTAAAACATTAAATAAATCAAGAATTTTTTATCTAATAAGTAATAATTACTAGTACAATTTTAGTATTTTTCATTCAAAAATTATTTAATTCTAAAATAATCATCTAAGACTATGTCTTTCTATTTTGATCAAATATTTAAAATATTGATTTAAATCAGTAATTTTTTAAAAAAAATCAGGGTTATTTAAACCAAATTGATTTTTATTTGCCACCTAATCATAATACAATGTTATATTATCAGTGAAATAAGACCTCAACATCTATTAAATATTAATTTTACCAATTTTCGTAAATATATTTTAAAATGTCTTCAAATATAGATTATGACCATTGTCACCTAACCAGGTGGAATTATATTGGAAAATGTTTAAGATATTTAGATTTACCAATTTTAATTAAATAATTTGATAAAATTATATAAATTTACATATGAAAGCTACAAATGGCATTATCTATAAATAAAGATTTGGCTTATTTGATGATTGATATCTAATGACATATGCATGGAAACTGAAATACCGCAGCGTAGAATTAGTCGTAAAAAGAAGGTGTGTTTTGAGGAATGTTCAGATGAACGTCCAAATGACTCTCTTCAAATTTACAGAATTGAAGTGGTTTCTATCATTGATCAGATAGTAACTAGTTTTACAGAATGATTTCCGAAAAATCAACATTTAATAACTGATGCTCAATATTTCCATCCTAGAAGTTTTGATGAAATTAATAGGGAAGGTATAACTAAAGAGGCTTTGAAAAGAATCTCTTCGTTAGCAAAGGTAGATAGGGATAAACTGCGAGAAGAACTAATTTGATTCTCCAGAATATATAGCAATTTACTCATTGGATTCTAGAAGAGTAGAGAAAATTTGATTTATCATAGTGATTACACGTCAGAAAATGAAAGTGAAGAATTTCAAGATTCTATGAAAGAAAGTTGCAATGGAGATTTTTTAACCAAATGCAATGTTTGATATGTGTGTATGAGACATTATTCTAATATAATATGCATACATCTGCATATACCAATTTATATATTATATAGTATATGAATATCTACTTACTTTATTTTTTTCACAAGTAAATAACCTTTAGCAAATTAAAAATAATTAAAAATAGACTGCGAGCAAATATTTAGAAGCCTTTTTAATGATGTCGGTAGAAAGGAAATTATTAGAAGAAATAAAATTAAGTGAGATTCTTGAATCTCTGCGCAAATGTTCATCATTAATGAGAAAATTGTTAAGCTAATCTTGGTGGAAATTTAACTTAAGCACAATTTCAGCAAATTCTTTTCTTTCCAAATGTTCAAAACCGATTTAAAAGTAAACGTTTAATAATTTCTTCTAGGATTCATTTTATATCATTTAGCAATTTATTATAATAGTTATTCATTCTAATTCTTTCATTTTCTGTTTTGAGAATTTGCAATTTTTATATGGTGGACCAAAATGCGAGTATTAAAAACCGAATCCGAAGTTAATTTTAATACAATTACCAATATTCATATTTTTAGATATTATTTTATTTTAGCAATAAAAAGAAAAGTTATTTTCATTTTGTCTCACTCATATGCTCCAATTTTTTAAGACCAAACCTTTTGTGGCAGATGGGAGATTTAGTCAAATGCTATCGATTTTGAGCCGTGCACAACGATATATTATTATTAGATCAAACTCACTATCAGCAGACAATTGAATTATCAAAAGTTATTTTACTTCTTTTTTTTTAAAATATATTACCTTTTTATATTATTATATTTCGTTTATTATAAAAATATACCAGAGTTTTTATTTAATTCTTTTAAATTTTATTTTTTATTATATAAATATTTTGTTAACTTATATTTTTCTCAGCCTTCCATATAAAAAACAAAAATATATACAAAACAATTAAGATTTAGTAAATATATTACAAGAAATAATAAGATTATGTTATAAAATTAATCCTAATATATAAAAAATATGGGAATATTATTTTAAATCATTTATTTATTACGGATTGGTTTGTTGTCGGGTCATTAAATGAATGAAATAATATATATTATAATCACAAAAGTTCACAAATTAACGACGAGTAATTCTTTTATATAGATCATACATAAATATTAAAAAGATAAGAATTATTTAAATTTTAATAGTATAGTAGATTTCAAATAAACATATAACTCCAAACCGCAGGACGGGTAAAAGCGGACCGTAGGCCCGCAAAGGGGAGTTTGAGGGCAACCCCCCCCCCTGATATATGGGCTTTTTAGAAATCTTCCACGAGGCCTTTAATCTCCCAGTCCGCCCCTGTCTTTCTGAATAAATATCATTAAAAAACTATATATATTAGAATTTAGTTACTAAAAATAAAAACTTAGTTAAAAGTATCAAATTTTACCTAAAATTTTAAAATATTTGCATAAGTAATTTGGGTTATATTGATCCCACCCAGGCAGAGTATATAAAATAGTAAAATATGGTTAAAAATTATAAATCAATGCAAACATTAATCAGATTGGTATTGAGTCCATTATAATTGAATTCACTTAATCAGATTGGTATTGGGTCAATTATAATTTAATTCACAATGGTATGGATAAATTCTAAAATGAAAGTACCTATAGTGTTGGTGGCTTTGTGGTATCCCACCATTTCCCCGTCCAAAATACAAGATTCAACATCCATCCCAAAACAGCCATGCACTATTGGAGTAAAGAGGCCTTCGTGCTGAGATGGTCCATATGAAGCTGTGTAGTCATAACCCCTTTTTGATATAATTTATAAAGGTAGATGCTATTCAAATAAGTAAAGAAGTTACATTTTGTGTTATTCTATAAAAAAAAGTAGTAACTGTTACTTTTTTAAAATATAACATAGTTCCATAACTATTTTAAAAAAGAGGTAACGTTACTTTTTAAAAGTACAGAGACTGTTTCTATGAAAATGGATCATTGTTTTACTTTTCTTTAATCAATCGTATAATCCCAAAATTAAATAAATAATTGCACATATATTATGAAAATATCATTTATGATAATGACTTTTTTAAGAATTTTTTATAAATTTGTAATAATTGTTTTTCGAAGTTTTTAACCTAGACACCAGGGTTGCCAAAAATTTCAACATTACGAGAGAAATTTGAATTGCGAAAAAATGCTATTTTGACCCCCTCCCCCATTTATTCCTATAATTTTACTTTATCTTACTTTAAAAAATCAGTATCGTTGTTTAATATTCTTCCAAATAGGTAATATTTTATTCCTGTTTATTTCCGGTTCTTTGTAGTGGAGTTACTTTATTTTTATATAAAAATAAATACTTTGATCTGGTAAACAAAACAAAATATTATAAATTAATATCCTTATTTACAAAAAAAATATATTCTTTTTATATAAAAACAAACGATCTTTATTTTCCAACTGTTTCTTAAAATGATCACTTTGTAATCAGCAGTGTTGTTAAAATAGCGCGCTACTTTTTTCAGTAGTGGTAGCTTTAGCTGGCTACTTTTTTTTAGAAAATAACGATAGCGTTAGCTCGCTACTAATTTAGAAATACATAATAAATACATCTAAAAATTATTAAAATATATTTTTTATTAAATCAAAAATTATAATCCTTTTATTTTATTTAATTTTTGAAATTTAAATTTATATTTTAAAATATACATTATAAATCTAGTTAGCATTATAAATCTAATTAGCATTATAAATCTAGTTATTAAAAATGTGTGAGATTGTTGAAGATAGTGAAATTTTTTTGAAAAATGAGAAAAATATAGATTATCCTTTCCCAAAAAATACTTTAATCTTGAAGAAAAAATTACTACTGGATATCGGTTTCGATGCAAGAAAATTTTGCCAACCACTGGTAGAGTCTATGCTAAAAGGCATTAAGAAAATGTCAAAACTTTATTTTTATTTTCTATTATACTATTATACTATTATATAAAATGAATGATTTATTGCTTGATTAGCCATAATTTAAATTGGCTTAATTTACAACTTTAATATATTATTAATTACCTTGTGTATAATAATTATATTTTTAAAATCTTTATTTACCATAATTTAATGCTATTTTAATATTTTTTTATAAATGAATCTAAATCTCAGATAAATTTAAATTTTAAAAATTAAATAGGTATTTTTCTTATTTTATAATTAATACAATCGCTTTATATAAATTAGATTTCCAGATCTGTATGATGATGATAATGTAATAGCTGCTATCGTTCATCCTAATTTCAAGTTAAATTGGCTATAAATTAATTTGACTGAATCTAAATGGCAACTTGATAGGCTGATGGTGACATTAAAAAATGCCATGCCTAACCACGATACTAATACTATAGCAAGATCGAAACCGCGGCCTTACATAGACGATTTTTTTAAAATAAATAATAATAATATTATTGAACCTCTAGATTATTTTTTTAAATCTAAAAAATACTCATTTAAATATCTTTGATGATTTTTTTCATATAAAAAGTGTGTTTATTAAATTTAATACTGCGTTGCCCTCAAGTGCTAGTGCTGAACGATTATTTAGTATGGCAAAGCTTATACTTTCTGATCGTCGCTCTAGACTTAGGGATGACAGTATAAAATGTTATTATTATAAAGTGCAATATAAAATAAATTATATATATATGTGTAACAAATTATAGTCATGTTATTATACCAATATTTTATTTGTGGAAATAAAGATATGTAAAAAAAATTTTTTAAAAAATCAAAATAGCGTAAAAAGTAGCTAATAGCGCGCTACTCATTTGAAAACGATAGCGCGCCACTTTTAAAAGTAGCGTTTAACAACACTGGTAATCAGGCTCATTAACCTTTCAGTACTCTGGTGGGTATATGAAACCCCAAACATGCTCGAAATAATATTACATAAACACGGTTATTTATTATGATATGGATTCTTCAGTAACTTCATCAAATATATCTTAGAATCTATATTCCAATTTCATATATTTCGGCTGAGTAATTTTTAAAATATAAGCATTTTGTGACTGATTGGGGTTTGTGAGACCCCACCAGAGTAAATTCGTAATTTTTTTAAAAAATAATTATAAATATATACTACTACATTATAAAATTTATTAAAAAGAAATTTAAATCTTATATTTTGGATGAGATATATAAAAAAGAAATTAACATTTTTTCTGGTGGAGATTTATTTTAATCAGTTGACTCATTTCTCAAATTATTTTTATCATTTACTATGTAAAGTAACATTATACGGTTGTATTTGGAAGAATTTAAACAAGAATTTAAACAGTTTCCTACATCTATTCTATTTCTCCTTATAATAATTTCTATCTCCTGCTAAATCAAACTATTCACTTTATTGGAAGAGTTCCACTCATAAATTAGTTTCCTGGGTACAAGGTTTGTCGGTATCCTGAGAAAAAAACCAGCATAGTTATATGAAGAATACAGGTCTATGACCAACGTGCAAGATAAGATAAGATTTTTGCAAATTCTGAAAGGAATAAAATTATTTGACGTATATCATTTTAGATGATTATGACAATGTAATTAATAGTGACGATGAAGAATATATATGATAGTGATCATGATGCACAATCTGAATTAGATAAAAGACAATATAGTTAAATATTATTTAGGCATATATATAACCATTTATCATAGTATATTTCTCTTTAGGATTAGCTATAAATAAGGTTACTAAATGGAAAAAGGATTTTCCTAATCAAAGAATAAGAATTTGTCAACAAAATTTAGTTATTCTTCTGCCAGGGATAAAAGAATATGAAGAAGCAGACACTCCGGAAAAATGTTTTGACTTGTTCATAACAAAAATGATTGAAGAGATTATTTAACATATGAATAATCTAAAAATTAAAATTATAAGTAAAATCTATAATGACCAATATGAAAGTCCTACTAAAGAAGTTGATGTATCAGAATTCAAGGCATTATTGGGAATTCTTTATTTAGCTGGAATTTTTAAATCTAAATATGTCAGATTCACGGAAATCTAAATATGTCAGATTCATGGAAATCTAAATATGTCAGATTCATGGAAATATGATAGGTTTGGAATTGAGATATTTAGAGCAGCAATGCCACTCAAAATATCTAAATTTCAAATTCATACAATGAGATTTGATGACATATTAACAAAAAAAGAAAGAAATGATATACATCGCAACTCATATTAGAAATATTTTTCAAGCTTTTGATGATAATTACTCCAGATAATATACAATTTCAATGCAACCCTAGATGATATGCCTTTAGCACTTCATGGTAAATGCCCATTCAGACAGTACATGCATAAACTATCAAAATATGGCATAACTCTTTGATGAATGCCAAAACATACACTCTAAATCTAGAAATATATAATGGAAATCAACCAGAGGTGCCTTATTAAATAATGAACCAGCAGATGTAGTTAATCGATTAATTCTTTCTATATCTGGTTCAGGTTGCAATATAACCATGGATAATTGGTTTACAGGTTATGATACTGTATTAACTTTATTGCATATACAAAACATTAGTGGGTACATTAAAGGAGACTAAACCACAAAATCCTAATGATTTCATATTAACAAAGGGAAGAGAAATATATAAAAGCATATTTGGATTTCAGGAAGACATAACATTATCATATGTTCCAAAAAAAAGGAAAAATGTCATAATGCTATCAACATTCCATCATAATAAAAATGTTGAAAATAATAACCTGAAATCAAAACATAATATGACTAAAGGTGGGGTACTTATGGTAGATCAAATGACAGAAAAGTATTCAATTTCAAGAAATTCATATTGATGGCCATTAACATTTTTATACACTTCTTAACATAACATCCATTAGTTCTCATATTATATACACGCAAACACAAAAAATCTATTACTAGAAGTAATTTCATTAAAAAATTAGCAATGGAACTTATTAGCCCACATTTGGAAGTACGAAAAAAATGTTTCAGATTTCGCAACTTCTGAAAGAATTTATTTACAATATATTATTAGGCAAAGAACAAAATGAGAATATTACACGAGGAAGGTGTGTTGTGTGTCCTAGAAAAAAGGATAAAAAAAACAAAATATTTTTGCCAAATATGTAAAATAAAATTACGTTTGGAAATGTTTTATGTAATTATTGTTTTGCATATCAAAATTAACATATTTCAATGTTCTATATTCTTTTATGTTTGAATATATTAGTGTAAATTTTTTTATATATTAAAGAATAGATCAATATAACGAATAATCATGATTATATGATGAATTATTTTTTTAATTTAATATTTAAAAAAGTAAGCTTTTTTTGAAAATTTTTGAACGTTTATGCAGCGTTTCAAAACGCAAATAAAAAAAACGTATACGCAACTATTTTAAATTGAACCGTTAATTTTTATTTTTTTTAATATGAAACGTCTAAATTTAAAACAAAAAAAATGCTGTCCAATTTAAACGAATGCATTATTTGCATTTTGAAGCGCTGCGTTTAAGCGTTCAATTTGTGCGCACTATAAAACCGCACTCAAGTTCTAACTAGTGCGTAAACGACGAAGGTCTTTGAAAAAAATGATGAACAGCGTTCCTTTTATTTTTGACGAACTTTGAACGTGTGGGCGTTCCTTCTTTATGACGAACCCGTTCGAATTTAATCTTCGTTCAATTTTAAACACACTTTTTTTTTATTTACTTGAAAAATTTACTATTAATCAAAATTTTTTAAAAATATATTTTTTAATCAGCTGTTTTTCCTTTTTCA